TCCAGTTATAATCGGTTCATAAGTACCGTGAACCTCCAAGTAGGGCCGTCTAGCGTACAGGGTTTGCCTCTCTCATGCAGAAGCAGCTTTGCTAGGGGATAGGATTAGGGGGACCCTTGGGGATATAGACCCTCTGAATAAGGTCCCTGTTTAAGAGAGCCAGAAGAGGGTTCAGAAGGGGTTCCCTTTTGAGAGTCCCCCTTATCCTACCTAGGATTTGCAGTTGAACAAAACGCCAGGGCCCCAGCCACTCTTGTACAGGTTCACGCGGCAAAAGCCATCCGGGCCCAGCCCTGCGGCCTTTCGCAGCAGTTCAGGGGCTTAGGGTGTAGGGTTTAGGGTTTAGGGTTTAGGGTTTAGGGTTTAGGGTTTAGGGTTTAGGAACATATATCTAAAGGCAATTAGAGGGCTTCTCGGATCAAGAAGGGTTTCAAAGAAAAAAACCAGAATTCAAGAATCCTTACTACAGGACACCTTAAACAGGCACCCCAATTTTCGGAACCCCGGCCCCCGCCCGTCATGGGTCTAAGGGTGAAACTTAAGAGACCCGAAACCCTAAACCCCAAACCCTGAACCTCAAACCACGAACTCCAAACCCTACCCTTGCGAAATTGTTGCTGTCTTCCGTGCCTCCAGGCTCCTGCGCTTGGCCTCGCGGGCCACCTGCTCAAGCAGTGAAGGGTTGGCGGTCGGGATTCTCGATTTGAGGAAGCCGGGGTTCAGGGCTTAGTGCTTGTGGGGTTTAGGGTTTAGGGGTTGTTCGGCTTCGTTTCCCATCACTAAACCCTAAGCCCGAGGCACCATGGGAGAAGGGTTTGAGGTTTAGGGGTTGGGGGTTTGTTTAAGCTTCAACCCTCAGCCCTTTTGGGGCTTAAAGGGGCTCTACATGGAGGTTCAGGGTACGCTTTACCCGAATTATAACTGTACTTTTTCGCCCCCGAAGTCCTCTCAGTAGGCACAAACTGCAAGTAGAAATTCTAGGGTTTAAGGGGAGATTCGTGCGCTTTAAGGGTCTTTTTCAGTGTAAGGGCTTGAGGTTAAGTAGGGAAGCCGGAACCCCAAAACTCAAGTTTAGGTTTTATTGTGTCGGGTTTAGCCCTAAACCTGAGAACTCTTGATCCATAAACCTGAAAACCTTGAATCATGAACCCTTGAATAGCCTTAAGACCCTACGCCCTGAACCCTGAACCTTAAAACCCTGAACCTCTGAGCCCTAAAACCCTGAAGCTTGAAACCCTGAACCCCTGAGCCCTAAAACCCTGAACCTAAAAACCCTGAACCCCGAAGCCGAAAAACTCTGAACCCCTGAACCCTATAAACCTTAAAATCCTGAACCCCAGAACCCTAAACCTCAACATCCTGAACCCCTGAACCCTAAATCTTAAAATCCTGAACCCCTGAACCCTAAATCTTAAAATCCTGAACCCCTGAACCCTAAACTTGCATGGTAGTGGCTGAGGGCTTGGGTTTAGAGGTTTAGGGGTTTAAGGGGTTTAGGGGTTTAGGGGTTTAGGGTTTAGGGTTTCCGGTGTAGGGGGTCTATGAGGTTGAACCTCAGGGTACCCACTGGGGGTCCAGGCAAAGGTCGGCCTCAGGTCTGTTGGGTGGGAGGCTTAGGGTTTAGGGTTTAGGGTTTAGGGTTTAGGGTTTAGGGTTTAGGGTTTAGGGTTTAGGGTTTAGGGTTTAGGGTCTAGGGTTTAGGGTTTAGGGCTACTTGCTTGCATCGGATCCCAGTACCTCGTGGATCTGGAACGGTTGAAGGTTCTGTTGGTCGCATTTTGCTTGGTGGTTGTGTCACAGGCGGCAAGTTTCTTGTCTTGGTACATGCACACTAGCGACCCGAACTGTACGGACTCGAGAACCCCTCAGCCTTGAACCCTCAACCTTAAAAACGCACTGCAAAACTAAACGGCTCCAAAACTAAATCCCCCCCCAAAAAAGACCCACGCCAAACGCCAAGGGTCGAAATCTCTCAACCCTAAACTCTAACCGGACCCTACTTTCACAACTCCCAGACACTAAACCCTGAAACCTAGTTAAACTGCACAAAAGTAAAGGGTTAAGGGTCTACGGTTCAGGGTTTAGGGTCAGGGTTTAGGGTTTAGGGTTTAGGGTTCATGGTTCAGGCGTTAGGGTTTAGGAGTTTAGGGCACCCGAAAACCCGACCCCAAATTCCAAAACAAAAACTCGGGGGACCTTTTGCGCCAGCGCCGCGGTTTTCGCGGGCAAGCGCCTCGCTTAGGCAAACGGGATCCAAGAACCTGGGTTGTTTGTTGAGGGGTGTAGGGTTCGGGTTTAGGGTTTGGGGTTTGGGGTTTGGGGTTTGGGGTTTGGGGTTTGGGGGGTTTGGGGGGTTTGGGGGTTTGGGGTTTGGGGGTTTGGGGTTTAGCTTTCGAAGCAAAGGGGCTCTGCAGGCCTTTGGCGGACCGATGGGGTTGTGGGAGTTGGGGTTTCAGAGCTCGAGAGGCGTGCTTGGCTTTAAGGTTTTGGGGGATTAGGGTATAACGGTATAACCCTAAAACCTAAACGGTCCTTGAACCAGCGGAACAAAAGGGCACTAGGGGCACTTGGCCCTTAGGCCCTTCAGGCTACGCTTAGGCTTCAGAGAACCCTAAACTCGAAACCCTAAACCCTAAACCCTAAACCCTAAACCCCTAACCCTGAACCCTAAAGACTTATATTCATCTGGCTCCGGGGGGGCATCTTTACCGACCCTTCTTGCGGCCATGGCTCGTCGGCTCCCCAGCCACAAGCTCCATGGCATCGGAAACTTGGGGCCCATACTCCTTGCAACGCCCCTGGTTCTTAGTGGGTTCAGGGTTTAGGGTTTAGGGTTTAGGGTTTAGGGCTCCCTACTCCCATACTCCTTGCAACGCCCCTGGCCTTCTTGGTAGGGAATGAGGGAATTCGGGGGGCCTACATATAGGGTTTAGGGTTTAGGGCCTAGGGTTTAGGGTTTAGGGTATACCCTTTGAGGGATTGTATAGGGCACTCATCCCCTCATTCCCTCATTCCCTACTAAGAACCAGCCAGGCAAAGGTCAGCCAGGTTACATACACATCCATATAGACATATATAGAATAGATAGTATATAGATAGTTCTGAAAATGTATTTGTTCATAACCCTGAAGAAGACAATGACAATCACCAATCACCAACAACCATCAACATGATAAACACATTGTTACTATACAGGTAGGCTCAGATAGCAATTAGCAAGTAGCATCGGACTCGCTCGAGGGACGTGCGTTTGAAGTCACAGTCTACCCCATAGCCAAGGGCCAGGCCATAGCCAAGGGGGTGGGGGTGGAGGGGTTAGAAGTTAGAAGGGCTTGGGCTTGTTTTGGTTTACGGTTTAGGGTTTAGGGTTTAGGGTTTAGGGTTTAGGGTTTAGGGTTTAGGGTTTAGGGTTTAGGGTTTAGGGTTTAGGGTTTAGGGTTTTGGGTTTAGGGTTTAGGGTTTAGGGTTTAGGGTTTAGGGTTGTCAAAAGGTGCTTAAGAGCTCAAAGGGATGCGGCGGCTGAGGTTTTCAACCCAAAGGTCCTGCTGCTGGGAGTTGCTGAACTTCAAGTGGGCCTTCGACCCGGGCGACGAGTACATAGGACTTACGATCAACTGGGTTTCAGTTAGGGTCTAGGGTTTGGGGTTTCGTGTTTCGGGTTTGGGGTTTAGGGTTTCAACTGAAGCCTCCCGAAGCTTTTTTTCCTACGTGCAGACTGTCAGTCTGAGCACAGAAACCTAGCCTGGGGACTAAATAAAAGAGAGGATGGTCAAAGATCTGAGGGCGGCGGCGGGGTGAGACAAAATTTGAAGCGGTCTAGTTTTAAACAATTTACTGCCTGTGAAGTGAGGAGGAATAAAGGTGCAAATATGGGGAGGGGAAGAACCAGAATGCGTACAGCAAACAGTGTATCTATGTGTCTGTCTTGCAGACCCAGGAGAACATGTTAGGTGCAGACGGGAATCTTGCCTCGACGTCGCAGCACTGCGCCATACATTCGGTGACGAAACGTTCGGTGATGAAGATTTGATGTCGTACATTTTTGCAACGGTCGCCTGGTAGTGGTGCATCGCATCCACTGTCAGGCACATTCGGTGATGATCATTCGGTGATGAGCTTTCGATGATGCAGCTCGAGCTATATATTCAGCTGTTATGCGTTTTTGTGGCAAATATTCCCTGTCTTGTTTGAGCCTGTTGAATGATAAACTGGTGATGCTCGTTGCTATTGTCATCATAGTTTTCAGTCCGTCCTAAAAGGGTAAAAGCATCCTTGAAAGATTCTAGAAGCCATGATGCTCGTGGTTTACCTGGGCGTCTGTATTCAAGTCTGGGTCTAGTTGTATATGGATCAAATATGACTTGTCTCATGGGGTCTTTGTAATCAGTCCTCAGTATGTGGCCCAATAACTTAACTTTCCTTTTCATCCAAGTCAGAGAAAACTTTTCAATGACATGACGGTAATCATTGTTTAGGAGGTCTAATACTTTCTGATTCGTGTAGGTGCGATCGATGAAAGTGGGCGGAATCTTCAAGATACGCCGGAGGCCTTTCATCTGAAATGCATCAAGTTTGCTCAGATCAGATTTTGTAAGTTGTATGCATTCTAGACCATATAAGACCTTGCTCTTAAGAATTGAGTCGAATACCTTGAGCTTCCATTTTACGCTGTTTTGAGCTTTGTTCCAAAATAGCTTAAGCTTATTGCACGTGACGGTAGCATCTGCTATACGGTTAGAAATCTCTCTGTGATTATTCACCGTGTCTGTCAGTAAGGACCCTAAATATTTAGCCTCCTGCTTGCGTGGAACCAGTGTCCCGTCCATATATTTAACGCTGGATTGTCCTTGGTTCAGAGTCAGGTTGATGCATTTGTCGTAGTTTAACTTCATGTTGTAGTATTTAGATTCAGACTGAATAGCATGCAGGAGCTTGTTTATTGTGTGCGTGTGGGTGCCAAAAACAAGTGTGTCGTCTGCATATAAGACTTCAGCGAATTCAATTCCTGGTATTGGTTCTTTTTGCTTCGGAGTGTTTAGCTTGGTTCGAATGTCTGTGAACATAGCAGACATTAGTAGTGTAAAAAGAAACGGAGACAGGGGGCAGCCTTGTCGGATCCCAGAATCTTGCGATTTGTATTCCGAGCTTTGATTGTTCATTGCTATTCTGAACTGTGGATCTTTATACATATTTGCGATCAATTGAAACATATTTGGGGGGACTTTTAGCCTTCGAAGAACTTGTAAGAGCTTTATCTGGTTGACTTTGTCGAAAGCTTTTTCCCAATCTAAGAGAATAAGTGACAAGTTTGAATGCTGTCTTTCGGCCAGGTCTAATAATCTTCTTGCGATAAAGATAGCTTGTGTTGTTGATTTATTAGGACGAAAACCATACTGTGTGTTTTGAATCCATGAGTCATATGCATGTATGAGACGAGCTCTGATCATGCTTGCTAGTAGTTTGTAAAACACTTGTAAAAGGGCAATTGGTCTGTAATTCTGCATTTGGGCGGCGTCCCCTTTCTTATAAATAGCGACCAAGTTAGCTTTTTTAAAAGTCTCCGGGTAATGCTGTTCTTGAATTATGTCGTTGTATAATGAGAGTAGAGAGTTTCGGTTAGGGACCGAAAGCCATTTTACAAGTTCTGCTCTACATCCATCCGGTCCTGGAGTTTTGTTGTTCTTTTGCGCGTCGATTACGTTATCGAGCTCAGTTATAGAGAAGAAGTTATCATTCATAGCGCTTGTTCCTTCAATAAGAGGGGAAGCTTCTTTAGCCGGGTCTAGTTCGTTTTCCAGCGGTTTGGCCCACTGTACTTCGGCGAAAAACTCCGCTGCAGTAGAAGGAAAATCTTTTTCTTTGATGATTTCTCCGCGTTTGTTTTTGAACTTATATCGCTTGGGTTGAAAAGTTTGTCTTGCTTTCTTTAGACCATCCCATTTGTAGCCATCTTGCGATATTTCCTCAAGTTCTCGTAGAAGCGCCCGTTCTTTATCTTTCCTGGCTTTCAAACGGATTTCTTTGGTTAAAGCTCGGGCTTTGATGAAATCTTCTTCTTGAATCGCATTCTGTTTGTCCTCAATAAGATTCCAAGTGTCTTCAGAAAGGTAAGGTTTCTTTTGTTCAAATGGGATAGGCGTAAAGTATTTATCAGCTGCTTCGTCAATTATTTCAGCAAGGGTTTCAAATGCAGTTGTGCATTTCCATTTGCCAAGCTGTTGTTGTTCCTCGATTTTCTGTTTAATGAAGAGGTTGTAATCGTGCTTTTGCATTTTTGTCGGAGTTCTAAATTTTTGCGGGCAAGCGTTCGTTTTCTTCCGTTTTTTCTGCGATAGTTTCACGTGTACATCGGCAATTAGAAGCGCGTGATCTGAATCCAAAATAGTTTCATGAACAGGTGTTATATTGTGGACCGAGTTTTTCCATCTGTCGTTAATAAGGATGAAATCCATTTGAGCATGAGTGTTGATGTTGATTTCCGCTAGATTAAATGCCTGCGTGCCAACGCTCCTATAAGTAGCAAGAAGGGGGGTGGGTTTGTCAAACCAAGTATTCATAGGTATCAACTTGCGCGATAAGCAAAAGTCTGTAAACAAGTGCCTATTTTGTTGCTGTGGTTCACTGAGGTCTTGTATAGTAGAACTAGACTCGCGATATACGTGTTTCCCAATGATTGTGGATTCCTGCGGTAACTGTTCAAGTAGTCTAGCATTGAAATCTCCAAGAATAAGGCTCACCTCGTGCGGTTTCCATTTATCCACGTGTTGTCCTAAGGTCTCATAGTGAATGTTCTTAGTCTGAGTCGTGTGATTGGCATGTGGCGCGTGTGTTGCAGCCAATATTTATGGAAATAGGCTTCGTATTAATCGTCATTAAAATATGTTGGTGATCGGTTGCTTGGATGTCGACGTCCAGATTAAGCTTTTTTGCGTATACTATAGCACATCCAAGTTTCTCTGCCGCCCGTTGTCTAATTCTCATACGTTCTCGCTGCGCTTCATCATGTTGTATCTTGTCTTTTTTGCATTTAGCATTGTACGCTTCCAGGTCTACTTCAGTTCGTTTTCGCTGGTCATCGTCTATGCTGCTCGAAAAATAGAAAATATAGTCATCATGTGTTTCTTTCCCCGTGTAATTTACATGCGTCTCCTGTAATGCAAGAATATCGATGCTATGTTTCTTCATGACATAAGTAACTTGCTGTCTTGCAGTTATGTAGTTCATCCCTCGAATGTTCAGAGTTGCAATACGGAGTTTCTGAGCATGTGTGAGGGGCTGCTTCCAAGGTTCTGCGGAGACATTGGAGTCCAAATTGCGTTCATGATTAGTGTCTTCCGCCGTTTTGCCAGAGGTTATATTCGTTGTATTGCTTGTGGTTGCTAGGATTCTTTCTTGAGCCAAGGTGAGGGTAGCTGGACGCTTGGCCAAAGCCTTCCAGCACTGTCCCACTCTTCTGTATTCGTTTCTGTGGAAGGTTCGTTTTTGTCGTCTGTTGGATTTATGGACCAATTGTTGCGTCTTAGACCTTCCTCCTCTTCTATGTGTGCGATTTGGGTGAGACTTAGGTTCAGTACTCATTTCGTTCGCGCACCGTCCTTGGGAAAGTGGGCGCGTCTCCCGCCGTACCGGTTGGCTGGGGGTAGAGTAAGGCAAAGCGCTGTTAACAGAGATATCGTTTGTCATATCATCCCTATGTGTTTTTGGGCGAGCAATCACTGGTCGGTTAGACCTCGTAATTGCTGTCATTCGGTGACGACACATTCGGTGATGAGACATTCGGTGATGAGACATTCGGTGGTGAAGCTTCCTTGGGTATATAGTTTCAGAATTTTTCTGATGATCTGTTGTGGCAGGTACGCTTGTAGCACTGTCGTAGTTTTTCCCCGCTCGTGCTGGAAGGCAGTGTCCCTACAAGACTAAGTCAGGCTTCAGGATGCGTTTTGCAATCCTGTTGAGGTGGTCGTCGTATTTCTGTCCGAACTCTTCGTTAGCGATTGATGTCACCTCGAAAATGAAAGGCACTTTGGTTCTGAGTGTCCATGTTGAGACCCTCATGTATGATCCTTTTCCCTCCGGGGTGAGACCTACAGCCTTCAGGAAGTCACTTGCAGTCAGTACTCCTTCTGCTGCGGAGCCCTTGCCTTTTCCCTTGTTGCCGATGACCTTGCGTGACATGATGTTCCCGTACGCGGTGAGGAATTCCTCTTCGAAGGCTCGTGCAGAGTAGAGGTTCTTGTTGACATAGATTTTCGCAAAGCCCTCCAAGTGATCATAAGCCAACCACGCAATGTATTCTCCTGTCTCAGTGTTCTGGATTGTGAGATGCTTCCATGAATGCTTCCATTGTAGGTTTGGGGTCATCTTCGTGATCACTGTCATGATGGCTTTGAGAGGTTCTGTCTGCATACGGTCAAACGCTGCGATGCATGGTTCGAATTTGATCATGCCGTTCACGGAGTCCTTGTTGCTTCCACTTTGGAGCTGGCTCAGCTTCGTGTTGGTCCATTCTTTGATTCCTTTTCTGTCATACTTTTGGCTGATTGACTCCAGCATTTGTTGTTTCAAGGCATAGTTTCCCGTATCAACCATGGTGAAGGGTGAGAGTTGTTTGCCCCTGCGATGCTCGAACTTGAATCTCGCGATGTCCCTTTCGTTGATGCCCGCTTCGATGGCTATGGCGTTGATCATTGTCTCCCGGTGTTCCATCAACAAACTTTTCCCCTGATGATTTGTCTCCATGTATTGCCACCAATTTTTTACCATCAGTTTACCTGCCACAGCTGCTCGCTGCCGGTCTGCCTCACTATATAGGAGATACGCTAGCTGAGACTGTGCAGACTTCATTTGATCTTTGAGGTCTCTGATGTCATCTAGGATGTCGTTGACCTGGTTGTCGCGGCTGACAGCATCCTCCATATCCTCTCGTAGGTCTTTGCCATCCTCAACTTTTGTTTCTCTCTCTTGACTTCGTCCTTTCTTGGGCTGTGCGGGTGTTGAGTTCTGAGAGCGACTTTCCGGACTTCTTTTTGACCCCCAATGGCGGGGGCCGCTCGGTTCCATTGCTCTTGTGTAGGGATCTAATCTTTTCCAGCGCAATGCCTGAACCCGCACGGCTCTCCCGAAGCTTTAGACTGCTAAATCTGTTCGCTCCCCAATCCTTCTCAGGGCCGAAGGCAGTTTAAGGTTCATGGCTTTGGGCTTTGGGCTTAAGGTTTAGGGTTTAGGGTTTAGGGTTTAGGGTTTAGGGTTTTGGGCTTAAGGTTTTCAAGTGTCGTCCTTGGCAGATGGAAGAACCTCCGCAAGCTTGAATGGTCTAACCACCCAAAACCCTATTCGAACTATTCAGGCACCGACGAGTATGTTCCAACAACTTAGCTGTCCAGTATCCGGGAAGCATAGGTTCTCTAGGGACTAGAAATACTCCGAAGAGGCTTAAGGATGCCTACTTTATATGGGTTGGTGGTCTCTTTAAGTAGAGCTTCTGTTTTATAGGGGGCATGTCTTTGGGGTTCTTGTTGTGGTGGGGCTAGAGCATATTAAGGTATAAGGGCAAGAGACAAAGAGGCCACCGGCCTTGGTAGTACCTCGTCTACTAAGAAGATGAATTCCTAGGTTTTGAGTTCTGACGGTAGGGGCCTGGGGCTTGGCTGAGGCAGGGCTCCAGGTTTCCCGCGGCCCGTTCTTCGAGCAGCCAAAAGCCTGATGAAGTGACCGGCTCAAAAGGTAGTAACGAGCCGGATCCGTCCGAAATGGAGTGAGACCTGACTCTGAAGGAAGGGAAGGCGTCGAGAGCAGGTGACCCATCTCAGCTGCTGGCACGGTGCTCTAAGTGCCGAACTCCGATGTTTGAGACCCATTTAAAAGGACGGGGTGTCGAGGAGCTTGCCAGGGGCAAGATGCACAAGCTGAGTTGGTACACTGATGTCAGTTGAGACCAGGAGCTCTTCTTCTTTGATCGCGCGCCGTGAAGGTTTAACCTCAAGAACTCCCAAGCTTCGGATTCCGAGTCAGCGAACAGAGGCCGCGCCAGGGAAGGAGGGTTTAGGGTTAGGGTTTAGGGTTTAGGGTTTAGGGTTTAGGGTTTAGGGTTTAGGGTTTAGGGTTTAGGCTTTAGGGTTTAGGGTTTAGGGTTTAGGGTTTAGGATTTAGGGTTTAGGGTTTAGGGTTTAGGGCTCATAAGGTTTAGGGCTTAGGCTTACGGATTAGGGAGGGAGGGCGGGGGAGCCCATGGAAGAATCGGCAGGCAGGCAGAGCTGTCATGGCTTTTGAGGTTCCCTCTCTTGTATCTACCGAATTCCTCTTCATTCTGCTTTCCGAACCATGAAGGGTTTAGGGTTTAGGGTTTAGGGTTTAGGGTTTAGGGTTTAGGGTTTAGGGTTTAGGGACCTGATCTCCGAACCCGGAAGCCCCAAAACGGGACCTAAGCCCCTCGCCCCTCACAGCAGGAACAGCAGTCCCTAGGCCCTTAACTAAAAACCTATAAACCCTAAAAAACCTAAAACCCTAAAAACCCTAAAACCCTAAAAACCCTAAAAAAACCTAAAACCCCAAAACCCCAAAACCCTGAAACCTAAAACCCTAAAACCCTAAAACCCTAAAACCCTAAAACCCTAAAACCCTAAAACCCTAAAACCCTAAAACCCTAAAACCCTAAAGCCCTAAAGCCCTAAAGCCCTAAAGCCCTAAAGCCCTAAAGCCCTAAAGCCCTAAAGCCCCAAAGCCCTAAGCACTAGGCCCTAAGCCCTAAGCCCAGTTGAGGACCTTGTCGAGCCAGCTGCGCTCGCTGGCCCTGAGCTCTCTCACCAGCGCCTTCTTAGGGTTGGGATGTCGAGGGTTCATGGGTTTAGGGTTTAGGGTTTAGGGCTAATGGGGTTTAGGGTTTAGGGTGTAGGGTTTAGGGTTTGGGGCTAATGAGGTTTGGGGTTTAGGGATGTCTAGACGGTTTTAGGTGTCACGGATCGGGTTGGCATGAAGCCGGCTCTATAGGGTCTGATGAAGACTAGTCTGTACGGCTACTGGGGCTCCAGTTTTTTGGCTTTAGAAACTTGAACCCTAAACCCTAAACCCTAAACCCTAAACCCTAAACCCTAAACCCTAAACCGTGGCAAAAGAAGGCCCAGTCTTCGCAGCTGTTCGGGCCGAGAACGCTTCACAAGCTACCTTCAGATGCTAAGTCGTGTCAGTGTCGCTGGCCATGACGGCCGGCTTTGTGTTTTACATTGCTTTGTAGCTTTTTTTTGCGAACAAAAAAAACCCTAAACCCAGAATAGGGTTCACAGAACGCAGGGGAGGGAGCTGGTCCTGGAGCTCAGGGAACAGGGATTGCACGCGAACGGCGCCCCCCCCCCCCCCAAGTTCGCCCCCCCCCGCCCCAACCAAAACAAGCCCCGACAGAAGCCTTGAGTTTCGGGTGATAGTGGCATCCCTTGGCTGAAGCTCTGATTTAGGGTTTAGGGTTTGGGTTTAGGGTTTAGGGTTTAGGGCTGGGGTACACTTGAAGAAGCCCTCAAAGAACGCACCGAGCTTCGCACAAAAAAAAGCAGGGGAGGTCTCTCAGCCTCCTCCTCGCTGGGGGACACGAAGTCGGGAACAACAATGAACCTGGGCGGGCTTGCCCCTGGGCCCTGAACCCTAAACCCTAAATCCCAAACCCTAAAGCCCGGCTGAACCCCAAGCCCCAAGCCCCAAGCCCTAAGCCCTAAGCCCTAAGCCCTAAACCCTATACCCCTAAACCCAACCCCAAACCCCAAAACCTACCCTAAACCTACAGGCCCTATAGCCCTAGACCCTGAATCGAAGGTGCAGTCTGTTAGAGTTTAGGGCTTCGGGTTTCGGGTTTAGGGCAACAGCAAATTCTGCGTCTAATGTCAGCTTGAAGAAGCTGCATATCTCCAGGGCCTGAGCCTAAACCCTGAACCCTGAACCCTAAATCGTATGAGCCCAGCAGTGTAGCTTGCGAGTAGGGCTTCAAACAAAACAAAAACAAGCAACCTTAATCCCGAAACCCTAAACCCTAAACCCTAAACCCTAAACCCTAAACCCTAAACCCTAAACCCTAAACCCTAAACCCTAAACAAGCACTGCAAATCCTCGGCCCTCATCCCCAACCCCTGACCCCTCGAAGCCCCTCCGCTGAACCCTGACACCCCTAAACCCTAAACCCTAAATCCTAAACCCTAAACCCTAAACCCCTAAACCCTAAATCCTAAACCCTAAACCCTAGATCCTAAACCCTAAACCCTAAAACCCTACATCCTCAGGGGCCCCACCCCTCCGGTTCTCCCGAACTCTTCGCCGACGCCATGGCGCGACTTGGAGATTAGGGATATTGGGTGTCGGACTTTCGTGTTTAGGGTTTAGGGTTTGAGGTTTAGAGTTGAGGGTTTGGGGTTTGGGGTTTAGGGTTTAGGGTTTAGGGTTTAGGGTTTAGGGTTTAGGGTTTAGGGTTTAGGGTTTAGGGTTTAGGGATTAGGGACTTTCGGGTTTAGGGTTTGGGGGCTTCGTGCAGAGGGGCTGATTTGCTTTGGTCTTGAGGTTGTGGGATCTGGGGGTTTCGGGCTTCATCGATTCGGCGGGGCTTTGGAGGGTTTAAGAAGCGTTTAGGGTTTAGGGTTTAGTCTTTAAGAAGGGTTTAGGGTTTAGGGTTTAGGGTTTAGGGTTTAGGGTTTAGGGTTTAGGGTTTAGGGTTGAGGCTTTGAGGCTTTGAGGCTTCAATGGTTTAGGGCAACATCTGCCTATGCACACGGGAAGGTGGCTTGCGCGTGGAGGGCGACGTGGGGATCAACCCTCAGCTCCCCAAAAGCCCGCAACCCCGTCACAGGAATCCAAAATAAGCCCTAAACCCTAAACCCTAAAGCCCTAAACCCTAAACCCTTAACCTTAAACCACAGAAGGCTAACCCCCAAACAATCTAAGACCAAAACTAGCAGGAATACTTAAGGGTTTAGGGTTTAGGGTTCCACATAGAGAGGGAATACTTGGAGTTTAGCCCCTCCCTTCATAATAACCGAAACCAACCCTTCAGCCCACTAGACCCAAGAGCACCCTAGGAATAAAAAGGGTGCCCTTTTTGGTTTAGAGGGGTTTTGTCAAGGAACCTAAAACCCCCCAAAAAAGGGGAAAAGGGCCTACTCCGGGTTCGCGAAGCGCCCAATACCTCAATCTAGGAAGATACCTTAATCAAAAAGGGATCCTGAATATGATCTATGGTATATTCCTTAAAGAGAGCCCAATACCCCCTTATTTAAGGAAGACACCTTAATCCATAAAGGGATCCTGAATATGATCTATGGTATATTCCTTGATTGTAATTAAGGGGTATTTGGCTCTTTGGGCTTGCAAGCTTTCCTTCCTAATCAACCTCGGAACCCCTGACGTCAAAAGCGGGTCGGAACCTTTGGCAATCGCTCCAGGTAAGCTGCCAGGACCTGAGTGACGCGTAGCTTGGGCTTTTCGGGTTTCGGGGCTTCGGCGGCGCTTCCTGCAGATGGGTCTGGGATTTGGGGTTTAGGGTTTGGGGTTTGGGGTTTAGGGTTTGGGGTCTGGGGCTAGGGTTTGGGGTCTGGGGCCTAGGATCTGGGGTTTGGGGTTTAGGGGTTAGGGCTTAGGGTTTGGGGTTTAGAGGGTTTAGGGTTTTTGCTTGGGGTTCGGGTTTAGGACTTGCAGAGGGGTAGTCGGGGTGCATGGGGTCTGGGGTTTATACGGTTGAGGGCATTTCGGGGCTTACAGGGTTTAGAACGAGCTTGGGGTGGGTTTGCAGGGTTTATAGAGTTTGTAGGGGAAAATTGTAGATAGGGCATCGGGTGTAGATCATCGAGGTTCTACAAAGGTTGCGGATCTAGGGCTTCGCGCGTACGGGTCTAATTAGGGGTTAGGGTGTTTTTGGCCGAGCGGGGGGGGGGGGGGAGGAGGGGGTTGGGGTTCTGGCCTCTGGGCAACTCCGCCAGTTTGCTGATCCACGCCATCGAGCATAGGTTGCACAGTTGTTCAGATGAGACGGGTCATCAACTGGCTGTTGCAGGCGGCGTTGATGAAGTACTCGCAGTATGCACAAAGAAATGTGGAGTGTCGCCACTCCCTCGTACGATTTGGTAAGCAGCTGTGCAGATGTTACTAAACCCTAAACCCTAAACCCTAAACCCTGAACCCTAAACCCTAAACCCCAAACCCTAAACCCTAAACCCTAAACGAAACTGAGCTCTCTTGGTGGCTCGCCGAGCAGGCAAAGCTGGCTGGCAGATGATGAGCACTCCCAGTTGGAGGGTGAGTCGATCTCCTTCGATTCCACCCCGAAAAGCCCGAAAAACGCCCCTAAACCCTAAACCCTAAAACCCTAAACCCTAAAACCCTAAAACCCTAAACCCTAAACCCTAAACCCTAAACCCTAAACCCTAAAACCCTAAAACCCCTAAACCCCTAAAGAGCCCCGCCTGAAGCTAAAGAAGCCCTTAAAGAAGCCTCCTAAATGAAGCCCCAAATCCAAGCCCCCACAAGAAGCCCCGAAAGAAACCATAAAGCCTAAACCCTAAACTCTAAACCCTAAACCCTAGCTCCGAACCCATTACCCCTAAACCCGAAACCCGTAACCCTAAACCCTAAACCCCAAACCCTAAACCCTAAACCCTAAACCCTAAACCCTACACACCGGCTTTCACGAACTTCACCCAGGGATTCAAAGGAAAACGCGCCCGGGGCCCGGCTTCCGGCGCGGCCTTCGCATCCCATGCCAAGGAGCTCCGGTCTGGGCTTGATGTTTGGGGGGGTTTAGGGTTTAGGGTTTAGGGTTTAGGGTTTAGGGTTTAGGG